TCCGTTTATGCAAAACTTTAAGGTTCGAAAATTGGTTTCATTGGTTTTCTCGTGAAATTTTCTTCTCGAGGCTCCATAAAATTTAAAAGGTGGCGGAATAAACATCAAAATTTCCAGTTTTAGTCAAAAATTTGATGTCCGACCTCTCTAATTGACTCGATCCGCTGTGCGCCGTGCCGATGGTTAATAATCACAGTAGGGTTGGGTGGGGGGGGCGAAAATACCAAATCACCGACCCCGAATGCGGTAACTCTTTAGTTTGAAAATTTTCATTTATTTTTCATTTTTTCATGAAAATACCACACGGCTTTCTTGTGCAAAATTCTTAGAAAATATGATCAAAAAACGAAGAAAAACAAACGATGTTTTGAAAAAAAACGATAGTTAGGCCTTCTTTGGTTATAGTGAAATGTGACAGGAGGTTTGTGATGGAGCAAAGCGAGGTACGTGGTTTGGTAATTTCACCTTCACTATCGAATCCTTGTCCGGTTCCCTGAGTTTTGCAGTCGATGGGTGCGCAAAAGGAGGCAAAACTCGTCACGGCGCCTGGGTGCAAGTGATGCAACTATTCGTGTTCCATGGATGCGCGTGTTGCTTGAAAAAAATTGAAGGCGCCCTGGTTTCTTTTTCTCGCGCCGAAATGCGTGCAATGCGGATGTTGCGCTGCGCGCCACACCTTTGTTGAATAACCAAAGCGGAGGCGAAAATATCAAACCACGAACCTCTAAAGCTGATTCGGTTTGAAAAATTTCACTCGTCTTTCATTCTTCCACGGAAATACTGACCGATTCGATAAGAACATAAACCTCTGGATGACCAAAGAACCAGAACAAATGCTGATATAAAATAGGATCACCTCCTCCTAGAGGATCATAAAAAGATCTATTAAAATTTCGATCTATCAACAACATTGTAATCGCCCCTGCAAGAACAGGGAGAGAAATCAGTAATAAAAATACTGTAATTAATACTGATCAGACAAATAACCTTAGATATTCAAAATTTATACCAAGAGTTCGTATATTAAAAATAGTAACAATAAAGTTAACTGAGCCTAGAATTGATGAAATACCTGCAATATGCAAAGAAAAAATTAGCAAATCAACTGATAAGCCTCTATGAGTTAATCTCAAAGACAGAGGAGGATAAACAGTTCAGCCGGTACCAGCTCCTGTCCTAATAATCATTCTAACCAACATAAAAATTAATGAGGGAGAAAACATGCGGGATTGTTTTAATTAAGATCTCATCTCGTGGCCCTCGGCCACGCCACCTGAATTTTTGAATTTTTGAAAGGCGCCGCCTTTCAAAAATTCAAAGTTCAAAAATTATGAAAAATACTGCCAACTCAGCTCTTTAGACACTCTCAGATGAAACAATAACATTTTCGTGTGTAAATTCTCCATTTATTAAAAATAAAATAAATAAAAATAAAATAAAGCAGTAAATCCGGCAGGACCCGTGTGAGCGCGACGGGGCATCCCAACACAAAAGGGAGGCAAAGATCAGAGAGGGGGTCTTGCTTGGCGGAGATGAATCAATTTTCCGAGGGTCATTAGTCGGATCGAATTAATATCAGATGCCGTTTACTGCTCATCAATTGAACCAACATATCCGCGCTTGTCGACACTAATGAAAAAACCAGCCCCTGCCCGCTCTGGCCCGTCGTCGGGAGGTCCTCGTGCAGAAGAAAGCATGATCTGGAAGCACTAGTCATGCGCGTGATTTTTGATTTATCATTAGCCGAGCCACCCGCCACGCAGTGGCGAGGCCTTAATGATCGATTATCGATACCTCCCCATTAAAAGCTATTGTAAAGAATCGACTATTAGGGACAACCTGTTTATCGATCCTTTTCCATAGGTTTTAATGGCATACAATCGATATATCGCAAAACACGCTGCGGCCACGCTTCTAGTTGCCAACAGTTCCTTACTCCGAGTCAGCGCGTTGAGCGCGGGCATTGTAGAAATATTGTATCAAGCAACGAGGAAACATATACAGGGTGTTTCATAGTTGCCGAACCGGCATGTGCGAAAAGCCTGTTCTACACGGAGAAAAAAACTTCGTGCTTGGGACCCGAAGTTGAGGTCATATGGATCTCTGAAGTTTTCGGATTACGTATCTAAAAACTTGAGATCCGCTGCCGAAGTTCGGGTCAGACATCGAGGCACTTTGGTATGTACCGGAGTACTTAGATGTGTGACCCGAACCCTTCGGTATATATCGAAGTACTTCAGATGTTTGACCCGAACTTCGGCAGCTGGACCTCAAGTTTTTAGATACGTGATCCGAAAACTTCAGAGATCCATATGACCTCAACTTCGGGTCCCACGTATGAGGTTTTTTTCTCCGTGTATGAATCGGAGGAATAGCTATGGCCTCTAAACTAATTATTGGCTCATATGGAACAGGGACACCACTAATATTGGTAAATGCAGTGGCAACTCCAAGGGGCAATAAATAATATTCCAATGCAAACTGCCTGAGCTGAACACTCTCCCCCTTCAATTATATGCTGGTACTCGTTAGAGTTTAAAACATTTATTTTTGACTCTTCTCTCAATTTTTGGAACTTCTTGGCTTTGATTTCCCCGCAAAACCTTTTTTTCATCATTTCTCCACCTTGTTACATACAGTATTTGGGCCATCTCTTAGTGTTTTTTTCCATCACTTAGGTGTATATGCTATTATGATCTAAAAAAGCGTGAATGTCTCGCCTTGGACGTGAATAGCCTAGTTACTGGTCGTCGTAATTAATTAACTAACTAACTAACTAACTATTTAGATGCTTTTAATTAACTGGGCCTTCACCACTATCAGTGATAGATTTTTCTCAGTGTCGGTAAAGATGGGCCTGTTGCAAACTTCAGCTAGAGCAAAAGGAAGGGTTATCTCTAATAGAAAATGGCTAATACATCAAGATGAGCGAAGTTGAGAAAATGTTTTATTCAGACTCATAGACTACGCGCCTGCGGTATGACCGTTTAACTCAGGGACACTCTGTATGAGGAGAGTAATCTCAAATCACTTAGGGTCCCCTCTAAATCCTGGCACCATGAATGTAAGAGCTAAAAATGAGCAAGTAGTTGTTTTTGAAAGAGAGCCGACAATATTGGTTGACCTGTGACCAGCGATGCATCGGTTTCACAATGCAGTGAATTAAGATGTCGGATCCCCCAGAGTTAGCGTCTGACAGCGTTTTGACGTGGAAAAAGAAAGCGGGCAAGAAACAAAGGTGCGATACAAAAAGAGCAGGGCTCTCAATCGAATTTGGGCCGCTGCGCACAACAGGGTCCCAAGCTCAACGCTGTACCCGCGCCCATCCATCACTCCGCTTCGGTGAAGCCAAATATGAAGCGACGACAAAACATGAGGTTCTCGCCGATCGTACAATACATTTTTGGGAAGAACCTTCAAAATACTGTGAATATTTTGACTACCTCTGAAGCCTCTATGCACCCTCATTTGGTTTTGAGTTCGTGCTACTATTCGTAAGCACCCGAATAGTAGCATCCTAATTTGAATCGTATTTTGCTATTGGGAACTAAAATTTCCAGCCCACTTTAGGAACGACGTAATTGCCATTAGTTTTTCTATGTAGATAAGTGATTTTATACATGGGCTAAAAATTGCAGTTCTTAATTGTAAAATGTAGTCCATTTTCGGTTTGGAACTACAATTTCTAGCTCACATTAGAAACGAAATTTCCATTAGTTTTCCTACTTAGATAAGTGATTTTAAAAATGGGCCAAAATTGTAGTTCCTAATAATTAGAAAATGTAATCCAGTTGCAGTCAGACTAATTCCGGTTAAATCTTTCTGATCGATCAAATGGACTACATTTTGCAATCAGGAACTACAAGTGCAGGCACATCAATAAAAGCTTCACCTGCATAGGAGAAGTTATGGCACACTTCGATGGTGAAACTCCCACACCACGTATCTCGGTTTGCGATATCGCAGACTTCCTGCCATACTTTATTTTTTGAATGAAGAACTACTCAACGTAGATTCTTTCAAACCTCATTGATTTTTCTTCTCTGTGCGCAGAAAATTTTGTGGAATTTATTGGAGCCTTTTGAAATTTCACTTTCCATCTCTGAACATAAGCCAGAAATTGTAGTTCATAGTTGCAAAATGCAGTCCATATGTGAAAGATAAGCTCTTTTTAAAAACGTCCCGAAAATTTCCGCCACCACTTTATTGTTTTACAGAGAAATTGTTGGTTAAATCTTTTTGAATTTTTCACTGAATTTTATCGGCAGCACAAAGAAAATTCAGTGAAACTTCCGACAGCTGCGTTGAACAATTCCTCTGTAAAACAATAAATGGCGGTGGAAATTTTTAACGTCGCAAGGCGCTTGTGATACTTTGACCAGGAGGTGACGATATGTCCTATCCCAGAAGGTGCATATATATATATTATATATATATTTGCTCCGTTTTTCAGTTTGCACAGATTCCCACCTCGGTCAGTTGCATGCTCATTTTCTCGTTTCAATTTTTACATTTTTTAGCTTCTGTTCCAGTTGAGAATGGGCATGTAATTGGCCCGAAAAGTCCTGGTTGTTTTATGTCTCCTCTAGCCTTGTACACGGAGAAAATAACTTCGTGCGTGGGACCCGAAGTTCAGGTCATATGGATCTCTGAAGTTTTCGGATTGAGCATCTGAACACTTAAGGTCCAGCTGCTGAGGTTTGGATCACACATCTGAAACTCCAGTTCTTACATCTGAAGTGCTTCGGTTTTCACATCCGAAAAACTTCGGTTCTCACATCTGAAGTACTTCAGATGTGTGATCCGAACCTCGACAGCTAGACCTAAAGTGTTCGATGCTCAATCCGAAAACTTCAGAGATTCGTATGACCTAAACTTCGGGTCCCACGCACGAGGTTTTTTTCTTCGTGTGTACCCATTTGTTTTTTGTATTTTAGTGTGTTTTTATTGTTGATATGTCATATTTGCCTAAATTTTTAATATTGTTCGTTTTGTTGCAGGCTGTGGAGAACAACAAGCAAGTGAAGTGCAAGTGCCACGGCGTCTCCGGCTCCTGCGAGATCAAGACGTGCTGGGTGACGGCGCCGGAGTTCCGGGTGGTGGGCGACGAGCTGAAGACCAAGTTCCAGAACGCCATCCTCGTCGACCAGTCGAACCTCGGCAACGGGGCCACGCAGCTCATCGAGGAGACCAACGCCGGGCGGAACCGCCGCGCCAAGCGCCCCGGCGTCGGGCCCGCGGGCCGGGGTCGCAAGAAGCAGCGCCGCTCCGGCTCCGAGAGGAACCTCGACAACTCCCTCCTGTACTACGAGAAGTCGCCGACGTTCTGCGAGAAGGACCCGAGCATCGACTCGCCGGGCACCGAGGGCCGGCAGTGCAACCTCACGAGCAAGGGGCACGATAGTTGCGCGTCCCTGTGTTGCGGGCGCGGGTACACCAGCGTCAAGAAGTTGAAGAAGGAGAGGTGCAACTGCAAGTTCCAGTGGTGCTGCACCGTTAGCTGCGAGACCTGCCTCAAGACCGAGTGGATCACTGTCTGTCAATAAAAAACGCGTATCTGCATGGACAAATCAGTAGAAGATATGACGCTTCTGAAATATGGTTTTTCTTTGCTGGACTCCATTCAACTGCCGTTTCAGCTGCAAGACCTGCCTCAAATCCAAGCGCATCACCGCCTGTCAGTAGAAAACACGGATCTGCATGGAAAAATCAGTTGTACGTCGTTGTGTTGCGGGTGCGGGTACATCAGCGTCAAGAAGTTGAAGAAAGATAGGTGCTATTGCAAGTTCCAGTGGTGCTGCACCGTTAGCAGCGAGACCTGCCTCAAGACTGAGTGGATCACTGTCTGTCAGACCGTTTGGTCTGAGAGTTTCAAACATTGGTGCATTGAGATACTCCTAGTTTTGAAACGACACCCAGTGAGCGAATGGTTTAAGAGATTCACTGAAAAAAAATGTAAATGATTTATAAATTCCAGATTACGTGTGTCGTAATCTCCAGAAAACCTAGTGGCCAGTTTCTGCCAGTGCTTATCGCGCTGCAGACATAAGTGACCCGATGCATGCGTAAAACTGATAGAAATACAGTACTGATTACAAGTTTTCCTAGGGATCATATAAATTAGGAATTTTTCAACCACTGACACCCTTCTATATCCATGTTGATGCTTAAATAGTTCTAATACTAGCTTCAACAATTCGTCTACAACTTTGCAACTTTCATGACCGGGACAAACACCCTCTTGTTATGCTTCATCTTTGCACTAGCTTCAACAATTCGTCTACAACTTTGCAACTCTCATGACCGGGACAAACATCCTCTTGTTATGCTTAATCTTTGCGTGAATAGTTCAAACAGAATAATAGACGGTTCATTGAATATCTCAGATTACCAAAGATAATACCACAAATATCTAGAAATTCTCCTCATAACACTTTCCCGCAAGAAGAAACATTTCTAAAATAAACCGCTCTTTATGAAGTTGAAAAGCAGTGATTTGGAAGCATTTGTGGGAGCAAGGTAACTCGCTTGGAGGAGTGCAAATTTAGATGAAGCTATTAACTCCCGCGCAGCCATGTAATCCACGACTCTAAAATAACCTCAACCTACAACTTTTGCGAGATTATTCGTGCTTCACGCTACGGGGGCTGCCTCCCATGATGCTTTTGACATTTCCGATTATTCTTGATATCTCTTGATGACCGCACGATCATCGATAGAGGAGCTGTCGGAACGAGCCGCACAGTGGGACGAGAGGTCAGACATGAAATTTTTGATTAAAACTGCGAATTTGGTTGTTTATTCACAATACAGATTTTAAAATATGCTCTTTGATGGAAAGAGGGGATGCCATTAAGAGCCGTCTTTGGGCTCAACCTATAATTATCCTCAACTTTACGGGTTTTTTTCTCATTGAGGGTCTATATTGTACGGAAAATAGGACAAGAAAAAGCGAGGACGAAGTTGAAAAAACACACAATAATTTACAATTCATTAATTAATTTTGTGCGTTTTTTAACCTTTTCCCCGCCTTTTCCTGTCCTATTTTATATCTATGTTCTCGGGCTGCCATAGTGTATCTTCATCTATATATTACGAAATAAATCATCATTTAGACGTTCTCAGTCTTTATCGGATGCACTATACTGACCCCTAAACATGAATTTATAGGTCAAATTTGGCAAAAATGCCGATTTTGCGGTCAAATGCCGAATGATCCGCACTTTTCGCCAAACCGGCCTTCAGGCTCATGTTTAGGCCAGCATTAGACCGGAAATGACCAAATCATGATTCATTTCGTAAAATTTAGACCGAAAAATCATAGACTTGAGGAAATTCAGTTAGAGTGGGTCCCAAAACCGGCTCCTATCGGTACCCATCCACGTACAAGAAAATCAATGGAGCTGGAGCCACTCGCATACTTACATATTTTGTATCAATTGTATCGACGAAGCTGTGTGCTATGTGGATCAGAAGTTTATCAGGAAGGAACCAACTCACATTAAGTAGAAACTGAGAAAAAGAGGTTTGAAGTTTTATTCCTCTATGAGACTCAATGTAGAGAATAAACTCTGAACCCCTCTTTTCATAAACTTTAACCATGAACATAACTTTTCATAAATTTTTCGACTTTGAGTTTTTGGCAGAAGAAAATGTGCTCGTGGAACACAAAAACAGTCTTAACTCAACTTCTTTAAAAATGTGGGTCGGCTCCTTTCTGATAAACTCGGTACTTTTAAAATTCCCACAGACTGAAAAAAAATTCTCGGCGTTTGTACCAAGGTCCGTTGGTACCTTTACCATCTCACTTATTTGTTACCAATTATTGGTAATTTTACCAAGACACACTAGTAAGCTTACCTAAAAACCGGTATTTTTGCTGTTTTTTACGGGTAAGAATACCACTTTTATTGGTAATCAATTCCCGGTAACTTTGCCATTTTATCTCGGTAATTCTACCACAGTCGATAAAAATATTGGCGTTTTTACCAAGGTCCGGTAATATTACCGAGATTTCTCGGTAAAATTACCAATTCCATAAATGGTAATTTTACCAAGAAAAAACTGGGATCAAATAGAACCCAGAATTTTTGGTAATTTTACCCTTTTCTTAGGAAATACACCGAGATTTTTTTTTTCAGTGCATTCTGTTCGATAACGCCCATCGACTCGCTCTTTTGTGCGGCGGAGGAGTTTCACGCTTAAATCGGTGTTGATGCAACCATTACATCGATGATGATGCATGAAGCACGTACGAGTAGGTACGAGTTCCCCTCGGGCGACACTAGGTACAGCGAGACAAATAATGAATCCCTCTCTCTTGTATTAAGATGTTTTAAGCCCACGGAGGTATGCAGGATTTTTCATAATAACAGGTAAACACTAAAAAAAACACATTGGATCTAGAGTCCAGACGACTCTTGAAAACATTGACAAGAAAAAGGACTCTTAATTCAATCAGATTTAAGCTTAAATCAAAAGGAAATCCGCTCAAATTAAGAGGCCTGGTTCTTGATTTAAGCTTAAATCTGATTGAATCAAGAGTATTTTTTCTTGTCGATGTTTTTAAGAGTCTGGACTCTAGATCCAATGTGTTTTTTTTCCAGTGAACGCCTATTAGACCACCTAATAAGACCACCTAAATAATTGTGCTCCTCTGGGAAAAGTGACTACAAGTCAGGGTACGAAATCTATCACAACGGTATATCGATGGCTGAAGTGCGAAACCGTGTATATTCATTGCTTCAAAGCCACCTTAAGGAAAAGTATTAGAATGGTGGTTTGTGAGACGCAAATTCAGCTTATAGCCTAATTATTAAAAACATGATTATTGCAATCAGGAGAATGTTGTGTTCAGTGTATACATATTTGCCATGCCTCAAAGATTCCATTTACCTACATCTTTAGCAGCGAAAAAGTATATGCTCATTAAGTAGCCCCCCTCCCTTCCCTTCACCAAAATACTGCGATTTGGGGCCATAATTATATGTATTTGTCAGCGTTTTTGTACTTTTCATTTCCCTGTTTCTCACATCTTTTTTTCTCAAATTCAGTCGATTTAATATTCGATTTGTGTTAGGCACATGTTCAGTATACGATCAAATTCTCCCGAATAGTTCAAAGTATATATAACTCAAGCGTAAATTATCATGTATGTATTTGGCCCTGTAAGTATCCTGCCATTCTAATTTATCGTGATCAGTTCTAAAAATCGTGTAAAATAAACCTGTATAGTCTGTGATGATCTTTTACTTTTAACTTAACTTTAACTAATTCATTAGTCGTAGGTTAGTTTGTATTTCTTTGTATAAAATTTCACCTCAACAGCATATCAGATTCATGCAAAAATCTCACCGATTTATTCCTTTTGGATATAAACTCAACGTATCGAAGCAACGATGAGTTGTATAAAATGCCACAATCCCTTTAAATCAATTTTTGAGAGGAGCTTAAGTTTTTAATTTACCACTGAGCAAGTGCATCGAAATTTCATGTTTAGTGTGAATACGACTCTCAATTTTAAAATATTAATTACGAACAATTCATTGCCAAAGAATTTAAACATCTTGACTTCTCGTTGGTTTAACTTTTCCTCTGAATGAATAAAAAAAATATGTGAGCAAGAGTCTATATTTTAGAATATCTCGTTGTTTTACCCGCTCCAAAGATTAGGTATTTAAGTCATAAGAATTCGACATACCCAGAAGACGCATCAATAAAATATACAATCAAGGCCTCAGGTCCTGAATTATCATACATTTTCTCATACAAGTGTGTAAATAAATGTAACTGTCTTAATTTATTTGTTCAATGTTATCAAATACACTACATCTCTCCAAATCAATCACTGGAGTTTTCATTGCTAATATCGCCGATATGCCTGATGTCGATAAAACGAAATGATGCGGTAAAGTTTCGGAGAGATGGATGATAAGGCAGGATGTTTCTTCTCATTTCGTAAACGTGAATCCTCAGGCTTCTGTTCAAAAATCGTCGCCTACCTTACATAAAGGCGTAACTACACTCTGCAATGAACCCTGTCTTCCATACAATTCAATGCTTTTCCGGGCTCATCTCAATGTGTAATTACGCCCTTATGTCAGCCAAGCGACGAAAGGTATCATCTGCGAATTGATGAAAAATCCAACCGTGTTGAATACATAACAATCAACGTCTACGTAGGTTATGTGGCCTAAATTGAAAACTGAAGGCGTTTTATTAGTCAAGGAGAAAACGTTCAATTCAAATGCTCTGAGACGAGATATTAGGATGAATTAGATATGTATCGCCTGTATTGCAGCAGGTTTTCTTTGCAGGTAGAAGCTTTATCCTTAATATGCTTCAATTTAGGACTACTAAAAATTTAAGATTTTATTTTGAAAATTAAACCGCTTGAAAACTGCAGCGTACTTTAGATTGCCGTATAGAGCGAAGCTTCCGATCAAAGCTTAGTTGGACGTATTTCTGCCAAACGGAACTATGTGCATTAAGACATGAGCCCTGAGACCCATAAGAATATATGCTTCGTCATAATGCACAAAGTTCAGTTTGGCAGAAATACGTCCAGTTTAAGTTCCCGCATCATTTTTCTGCGAGTTACAAATAAATCCACGGAGATTTAAATGATGATTTTTTATTTATGTATAAACCTTAGGATGATGACAAATTATGTTAGCGATTGATTTCATACTTTATTGATGGTTTTTGCTCGTCATTTTTAACATAGAGTGATTATCCGTAAAAGAAAGGGAAAAAAAAGAAACACACTATTTTTAACATTTTAGAGTTTACTTAAATTCAAAATATAACCCCAAACGAAAAAGGAATGGGCAGAGGAAGAATAAAGGCGCATACAAGGAAAAATAAAAGTCTTTTGATTGATCTAATATATCCACTATAAGCTTCGAGACCTCCCAAATTTGCATATCCGGTAACGCTCTAGCTTGGCGTTCTACCGGGCTGATTTTCATGATTTTTGGGGCTATTGACAGGCAGTTGTCTTTAAATGAGCCCGTTATATTAGTTTTCAAAATATGACCCTGGTTTTTTTATATTACGAGATAAATTTGCGAATTCAATGTAAATTTGTACTTTTTGTCACAGTTCGCTTGAGCGTTCTACTGGACCGATTTCCATGATTTTTGCGATCATCGACAGGTGATAGTCCTTAAATGAGCTCGTTGTAATCAGAATTTGAAAATAGGACTAAGGTTTTTTTATATAAGAGTAGATTATAGAGTTTACGATTGAGCGAAGGGGAGAATTTCATAAGCCGCCGCCCGCGACACACTATGTTCCAAAACTTAAGAATAGGAAGAAATAAGTTGGATAATGCCTGAGAGATCACGAAAGTTTCGTTATTATTGTTTTTTGAGCCGCTAATTTCGAATTTGATGTCAAATTGCCAAGATTTAAATAACCTTACCTATTAATTATGGGCAAGTTAATGGCACGCTGCGGCGCGGCGTGCTGAAGCCGCTGCCAGCTCGAAACGCGCACCGACGCCTACAAACCTAAAGGGATACTTCAAG